GGCGCCACGAGCCATCGACAACCAGTACTCCTTCTTCTGACGTGAGAGAGAGAGCAACACTAACTAGCGGTACTTTTCTTTGTGTTCTTTTAGTCCGATAAGCTTTTTATTTTTTTGATGACTCAGCGAGCTTGTTGTTGAGCTCGAGCGGGTTGAAGCCCGCAGACCCGATAGCTCAACCACCTTCTATCCACAGAACTACGGAGGCCCAGATACAAAACAAAAATATATTTCTTCCTTGTGTTTGTGACGTAAAAATAGAAACAAAATGATTTAGTTGCTAATAAAATGTCTCGCTTACAACATCAGAAGAACCAAACTGCTGTTATTATCTTTCACCAAAATCATTTCAACTGCTCTGAAGTCACTTTAAACCGTCAAAATGGACACAAACTACATCGGTTATTTTAATAAAAACACAATGAAAATGACGGAACTTAGACATTGCATTTTTGTAGTCCTTATTATATTTAATGGTGTACACTAATGATCTCGTGTTAGGAAATGAATAATTCAACTCTAATATCTATTTTCTATTCATGTGAAAACGCTACACAAATTATACCTGAACATTACGACGGTTTGTATAATCCTATTCCCTGAGCAGAGCCTGAAGGCATCGCAATGTAACTGAAGGGAACCTTCGTTCGTTAGCCGCTAGCGGTGCTGCTAATGCTGCTAATGCTGGTAGCTCTCCTGCTGCTGAGCTACACACTGATTGGAATATTTACAGCTTGTCTTTACAGTGTTTCTTAATTTAAAGTTTTACAACATGCTATTTTTTATTGTCAGACATTTGCTGGTTTGTGCTTTAAAAATGTGTTTTCTGCTTTTCTACATTTCTTTTCACAGTAAATTTGATATTTTAAAATATTTTTTGCATACGTTTTTTCTTTCTCAATTTTCTGCCATTTTAATATTAAAAGAAGGAACTGAAATAAAAACAAAATACAACATTAGGTACAAATAAGAGCTAATGTAGCGAACTTAGCTGAGTAACCAATAAAATGTTGTTCGATAAGTGACATTGGGGATCAGAAGAAAGGCGTTATTTATTACCTCCTGTCCGCATATTGATCTCACTGATCAGCTATAAAACTCCACACCTCTTGTTCTAAAAAACACTAAACTAGACTGTTTTCTTCTGTATTGGTTTAAAATAACACGTTCTGCCTCCTGTGGCTGAAATGAGTGTTACAACAACAATGCAAAGCAAAAAGGCAGAAACTAAATCACCCTGAAATTGATCCTGGTGAAAGATTTCCATCTGTTCTTAAGTCACAAACGCAGGCGAGAACACTTCTATTTGTACTCTCCGGGCTTCCGTAGTTCTGTGACCGGAAAACCCAAAACGACACGACAGCAGAATCCGTTTAGGAGATCATACTGATAATGTACGTGGCACAATTCTAACATGTTCTTTTCTTTGTTTTACCTTATTGTATATTTGATATCTTGAGACCTAAAAGCATTTCAAGGGTACGTAAGATGAACCTTTATTGATCCTCAGCATAAGTACAAACGCACCATTCGTACTGAAAGAAAACAGGTCAAATAAACACTATAAAGAGGTACTCGAATCCAAATATGTGTACACGTCCTTATTATCTTCATAAGATCCTCAGAGGACACAAAGCGGCGTTAAATCCACCGTTTTCTTAATGGCGTCTGCCCCCGCTCCCCCGCTCCTAGGTCGTACCCTTTTGATTCATTTCTCTTGAGAGTACAATCATACCAGCCTATATTTGATGAAAGACGATAGCGGATACAAGTAACTCATCCTTG